TGCCGTCAAAGTTACGCTTGTTTGTTCAGTCTCGACTTGGAAATATATGAATCTGGCGAATCTGGCCTGTAGTCCTCAAACAATTCCTCCAGACCAAATTGAGAATACTCATCATCTGACAGTGTGGAACGAGGTGATACTGGTCTGCTGTCAGAGTACCGTAAGTAATAGTTACAATGTTGACTCTTCAGCTGGCCAAACACCAAGCCTTGAGACAAAGAGCGATGCTCAACTGAAGTAACAGATTCTGGGGAGGATGCTCTAAAGTCCGCCAACCAGTCCTGCAGAAGCGAAAAATCAAAGTCGGAAGACAATGATTCAGGAGACAATGCCCTGCTGCTGAATAGCTGATCAAGTTCAAAGTCTGAGAAAACTGACTGCGGGGACTCTGCTCTGGTCTCATCAAACAGCGTTTCAAGACACAAATCGGTGCCTTCCCAGTCAGACAATGTTGATTCTGGGGTAAACGACCTGTCCCTTGACAATTCCACCACATCATAACCCATATGGTTAGATCTGAACTGAGGAACAGGTGAGTCAGGAGAGAGGGGCCTCAGTTCACTTTGAGATACCACTGACTCAGGAGACTCTGTTCTTATCTCTGTGACATAATCATCTATGGAGGAGTAAGTGCTAACATTTTCTGACATGGCTGATAGAGGCCTAAGAGGTTTCAACTCAGACAATGTGATGCCCAACAAAGCTTCTGCATGTTTTTCATGTGAAGTGCCCCGGACAATATCTGCATATGTAAAAGGTCTTGCAGCTGGAAGTGCTGGGGATGCTGTCAAAGTTACGCTTGTTTGTTTCGCATCAACTTGACAATTATCTGAATCTGGCGAATCTGGCCTGTAGTCCTCAAACAATTCCTCCAGACCAAATTGAGAATACTCATCATCTGACAGTGTGGAACGTGGTGATACTGGTCTGCTGTCAGAGTACCGTAAGTAATAGTTACAATGTTGACTCTTCAACTGGCCAAACGTCAAGCCTTCAGACAAAGAGCGATGCTCAACTGAAGTCACGGATTCTGGGGAGGATGCTCTAAAGTCCGCCAACCAGTCCTGCAGGAGCGAAAAATCAAAGTCGGAAGACAATGATTCAGGAGACAACGCCCTGCTGCTGAATAGCTGATCAAGTTCAAAGTCTGAGAAAACTGACTGCGGGGACTCTGCTCTGGTCTCATCAAACAGCGTTTCAAGACACAAATCGGTGTCTTCCCAGTCAGAAAATGTTGATTCTGGGGTAAACGACCTGTCCCTTGACAATTCCACATCATAACCCATATGGTGAGATCTGAACTGAGGAACAGGTGAGTCAGGAGAGAGGGGCCTCAGTTCACTTTGAGATACCACTGACTCAGGAGACTCTGTTCTTATCTCAGTGACATAATCATCTATGGAGGAGTAAGTGCTAACATTTTCCGACATGGCTGATAGAGGCCAAAGAGGTCTCAACTCAGACGACGTGATGCCCAACAAAGCTTCTGCATGTTTTTCATGTGTAATGCCCCGCACAATATCTGCATATGTAAAAAGTCTGGCAGGCGGAAATGCTGGGTATGCCGTCAAAGTTACGCTTGTTTGTTCAGTCTCGACTTGGGAAATATATGAATCTGGCGAATCTGGCCTGTAGTCCTCAAACAATTCCTCCAGACCAAATTGAGAATACTCATCATCTGACAGTGTGGAACGAGGCGATACTGGTCTGCTGTCAGAGTACCATAAGTAATAGTTACAATGTTGACTCTTTAGCTGGCCAAACACCAAGCCTTGAGACAAAGAGCGATGCTCAACTGAAGAAACAGATTCTGGGGAGGATGCTCTAAAGTCCGCCAACCAGTCCTGCAGAAGCGAAAAATCAAAGTCGGAAGACAATGATTCAGGAGACAATGCCCTGCTGCTGAATAGCTGATCAAGTTCAAAGTCTGAGAAAACTGACTGCGGGGACTCTGCTCTGGTCTCATCAAACAGCGTTTCAAGACACAAATCGGTGCCTTCCCAGTCAGACAATGTTGATTCTGGGGTAAACGACCTGTCCCTTGACAATTCCACCACATCATAACCCATATGGTTAGATCTGAACTGAGGAACAGGTGAGTCAGGAGAGAGGGGCCTCAGTTCACTTTGAGATACCACTGACTCAGGAGACTCTGTTCTTATCTCTGTGACATAATCATCTATGGAGGAGTAAGTGCTATCATTTTCCGACATGGCTGATAGAGGCCAAAGAGGTTCAACTCAGACGACGTGATGCCCAACAAAGCTTCTGCATGTTTTCATGTGTAATGCCCCGCACAATATCTGCATATGTAAAAAGTCTGGCAGGCGGAAATGTGGTATGCCGTCAAAGTTACGCTTGTTTGTTCAGTCTCGACTTGGGAAGAATATGAATCTGGCGAATCTGGCCTGTAGTCCTCAAACAATTCCTCCAGACCAAATTGAGAATACTCATCATCTGACAGTGTGGAACGAGGTGATACTGGTCTGCTGTCAGAGTACCGTAAGTAATAGTTACAATGTTGACTCTTCAGCTGGTCAAACGTCAAGCCTTCAGACAAAGAGCGATGCTCAACTGAAGTCACAGATTCTGGGGAGGATGCTCTAAAGTCTGCCAACCAGTCCTGCAGGAGCGAAAAATCTAAATCGGAAGACAGTGATTCCGGAGACAACGTTCTGCTGCTTAATAGCTTATAATGTTCAAAGTCTGAGAAAATTGACTGCGGGGACTCTGGTCTGCTCTGCATCTGACCTGGGGTCCTAAGTTCAAATGTCTTTTTCCTTACTTCAATTTCCACGTCATTCAATGCTAAACTTTCTGTTAAAGTTAATGACCCTTCAATTTTCGACAAAGAAGCATTTGTGTTTGGGAATTTCAAAATGTTTGTTGGTCTCTCCACAAAGGTAAAGACCATTGGTTTGCCTGATTCTCCAAATTTGTTAATTTTCACATCTTCATGAGTCCAATCATTTATAGATGAAGTAGCAGTTGTAAACAAAGGGGATCTTTCTTCAAAATGTAGATGTCTTTTCAACAAATGCGGTTCATCAGTGAAATTTACATCCAACCATTCATCAACAGATGATGAATGAGCCCTCATTGAATTTAATAAACAGTCAGATGTTGTTTGCTGGTTCTGTGATAAATAATTTGGCAGGAGATAACCATTTGATGTGACTGGCTCCTTCGGTAAAGGATGATCATGATTCACAGCTACTAATTCTGGTGTCATGTGGCTGCTATGACCAACTTTCTCATCAAGGACTGTAGTGTAAGAAGCTGAAGTCATTGGTAGTGATGATAGGTTTTCTCCTGAATATTGTAAGTAATAATCACAATATTGATTGATCAGCTGGGCACGGAAAGGTTCTGAAAGCAAGAGTTCTAGAAATGAGAAACTGCACTGTGAGGTCTGAGATTCTGGGGATGATGGACAGGAATCTTCGTCTGAACATCCATATACATCAAATGGTGTAACCGTGTCAGTCAAAAGTACTCTTCTATCTAATGTCAAAGGTGAGAAAGTTCTGGATTCTCCCTTTATCTGTTGACCTTTGGGTGAAGAGGGACTACACTTAGGTACTCGAGAGTCAGAGTACATTTGCTGGTTATTTCTCATAGACTCAAGAGATTTAGTAGAAAGTGAACCTGAACCAGGAGCATTGACGAAGTCTCTAAAATTTTGTAACAGTGGTTTGAAATCACATTTATCTGATTCATTAGTAAGTAATTTATTTCTAGTGAAACTGGTTGTAACTTCTGGTTGGCTAAATTCATCAGAAGAGAGTTCCCAATAGTCATTCAGTTTACAAGAAAAGTCAGGAAAAACCCTTTTTTCCCGCTGTGGAGAGTCAGGTGACATTGCCCTGTAGTCACTGATTGACATAACAGAATCCGGGGACGACATTCTCGTTATAGGGTCATTAAATACCCATGTCTCTGCAGCAAAGATATCTCTTTCATTAACAGGTAAAAATGAGACACACGGCTCCTCAGATGTCAAAGAATCATTTGTGAAGGAGCTGTGCTTTATTAAGGTGGCAGATAATGAAACATCTTTCTCAGGTGATTGTTGTGGAAAATGTGTGGAAGGCAGAAAAAGGCTAGTTGAGGGATTCTGTAGCTCAGAGTTGTAGTGTGTCTTTGTCATGACAACAACATGGTCATTTGCAGGTCTAACAGGACATGTAATACTGTACCTATCAGTTGAGTCACAAGCCATACGAGTAGAGCAACTGCTTGTTAGACTATTTGGCAAATTGGCAGTTGAGACCTCAATTTCCAATAGCTTTACCATGCTGTACTTTGCTGGAGTAATACTGGGTTCAACTGATTTGAAATCTTCAAAATCCTCAATAAATGGTATGTCTTTGAGATTTTCTCCGCTTAATGTTGCTGGTTTTCCTGTTTTTTTCTTGGCTTGACTTGATAGCTCTGGAGCCAATGCACACACCAGAAACCTGTAGGACCATGTCAGGATTGTTTGGTTCTTTGAAGAATTGGGTTGTTACCTCATCTGCACACTTCTGAGAGAGCCTGCTTTTTTGAGCAACATCAGTGTCATCTTCAGTCATGGCCAGTGTTGCTTGGTTTTCCTCTGCTGACAGGGCTAACAAACTAGAATCAGAGATTCCTCCGACAATGTTTTTCCCTGGCTCCGTATTGCAACTTTGTGATGTATCCTCAAAGTCATCGCAAAGCTCATTGAAGTCAGTGTCTGCTTGGTCTGCCTCTGACAGACTTCGACCAAAGTCTATTATAGATAAAGATGATGGTAACCTTTGGCTTTCAGATGACTGCCTTTGCTCATTCTCACAACCACACTGGTCAAACTGTAAGGTTTGGCTGTAGTCATCTTTGTCCGAGCACTGAATGCTACCTTCAGAAGGCCAGACATACTGAAGGCTGCAGCGATCTCGCTGGTCTTTCACTTTGGGGTCATATACCTGAGTGGCATGGCTCTCCAATACAGCTTCTTCCATAGTGGTAAATGTACTTACTTGCTCATCTGAGTTGTCATAACTTGTAGGTCCTTGGGTAATAATATCCTCAGAGGTCCACAGGTTAGGGTTCAATTCACTGTAACACAAAAGAAGGTTATGGTACAAATTATGAATTTACATGAGTACAATATATCAAAGTCTAAATCTACATTGCAAACAATTTGTATAAGGATATGACATTGTTCTGTTTCCATGCATCAACACGCTGGGGAACAGTAACTTCCAGAAATGCACCCCTTCTGATTAATTAATAACAGCCCTATTCAGCCTAACATTTTAAGTCACAAAAATGTACGCCCCTGTGACGTTTCGACTTCAGAGGTAGTAACAGAGGAGGTTTCAGCAGAGCCAGCGTGGATGCGCAATGCTGTGTGTGCATGCATGTCTGACTATGTCTATGTGGAGCTTCATTACGTCATTCTCTGGGACACAAATATTATGCCATCACGGAATCAATATGTATGTATAAAGATGTGATAATGGCTGAGCTTAATTCCGTCACTTTTACGAAAAAGCAGTTTGGAAAAAGGCTTGAGTCTTTGAGGCCATAAGGTGTTTGGGGAGTATGTTTTGGGACCAGTTTTGGCTACAAAATAATCTACAGCTGGAGATGTTAATTGCAATTAATGAATAACTACAACAAAAAAAAACAATTTACTGTGGGATCTCTAGCTCTTCCAGAAGGTCACAGTGCATGCTCTCAGAGCTGATGTTTCCAACAGGCTCTGCCCAGGAAGGAATGTCCAGTAGGGAAGCAACCGAAAGGTCCTCTTCAGAAACAGCAGGGGGTGGTCTACGGTCTGATTCCACCCTTCTTATAATTCTGGGGCTGTCTGCATCGTCTTGGACTGAAGATAGGGCTACCGATACTGAAGAAAAAAAATTAATTCATTTAGTGTTTGTGTTTGCTTCCAAATAGTGTAAGCAAACACAAATACACAAAGTGGCTTCTCAATTGATTCTACCTTCACTATGATCCAGGGTCTTTTCGATTTCTGCATACGTTCTAGATGTTTGCTCTTGAACTGACTTGTTCATCTGGGTTTCAATTAGATGGACAATGTCCATGCGGTTGATCTTGGTTAGTCTTTTAATCAGACAGTCCTCTGTGGAAAAAGTGATACATTATTGATTGACTGTTAAAGCAAAAACATATTTCTAAACTGAAAATATAAAAATTATATATATAATGTACAATATCCATATGGCTCTGGTAATTACAAATCATTTCACAGGAGTGAATCCAAAGACAAAATAAAATCATTTAATAGGCTTTTTGCACCTAGAAAAGATCATATCAAAATCAGTATTTGAAGCAAAAAGTTAGCACTGTTAAGCGTTTACTGTGTGTACCTGTGGCATGTTTGCCTTCCCGCTCAACCCAGCGTTGGAGTAAAGCATGGCTCTGTTCTTGTAGGGAATTAGGATTCTCTGTCCTCACCAACTGGATATCATTCTCACTGAATTCAAGTTCTCTTGCTAGTTCTAGGGTGAAAATACATAATAGAGGAATTAAAATGCAAAACATTCTAAAACTATATTGCCAAAGCATGGATTCTCAATTATAGAACATTTTCAGGTCAAATAAAACTAAAAATGTTCCCTCTAAATTAAAACAGAAAACAATGGCCTAATTTTACAGCTTACCCGTCCAGCTGAAGCCAAGTAGATCTGCAACGATCGCTAATGTCTCCTCTTTTCTGTCAGCATCATCCTGCCAATCCACTAAAAGAATGCGGTCAGAGCCAAAGATTATTCCTGAATATCATTAACAGTTCAAGGTGTAAAGCTTTATACCAAAATGAAGCCTCATGTAAAAAATCTATTCTAGATATGGATGTAAAATGTAATTTCCTGAGGACTATGTTATGGGCTGTAATACTCTGAATGAAATGTTTAACTCTGATGTTGATATGGATGAAAACATGAAGGTTTTGTTTCATGACTTTTTGGACACAATTATCACCTCATGTTTTTAAGTTATTAGTTGAAGCCATGGCTCAAATTTGATGATAATGCAATGTGCATGCAGATACTAGTAAAGCTGTATTAGAAGTACGGACACCATTACCAATGCCAAGAGAACATCTGCATCATACATTTTCAAGCGCCTACTTTTTTAACCATCATGGCCATTCAATCTTGAGATTGCTTCTACACAAACACAGATGGAAAGGTCACTTACAAACATGCATAAACACCACAAACACGCACGGAACAAAATACAGAAGAACAAAAAAACATGATGCACGATGGGACCAAACAAACCACAACAAATAACAACAACAAAAAATGACATTTATAAAAAATAAGATTATTTTCTTAGGAAGTGCAAAAAGGGTCTTGCTTCAGAGAAGAGGAGATAGGAAAACAAAAGCCCATGTAAGTCTGGCCATACCTGGCGTACATTGTGGAGTTTGATCATCGATGATTCTCTGCATCTGCGTTTCCACTGTGTCATCCCAGCTATGCCTGTATTCAAACATATCCTCGGTACCAGATGGTGGTTGCACACTGGGCAACAGAGTGCCATCAGAATCTAAACTACGAGAGGCTGGGATGTCGTAAGTGAAGATAACAGAATCTGGACTCTTTTGACTTGCGCTACTTGCATCATCAGTGTCCAAAGAAGCTTGAAAAGATGTTTCCGCAGTGTTTGAAAGTTGGATTTCTTGACTTTGGGGAGAGAAGGTGATCTTCTGAGCAAGAGGTCTTTCTTGTGTCAGGGCAGCAAGTTTTGAGGGGGAAAGTAGGTTTTGAGAAGAAGATTGACTACTCTCAGAGTAACTCCTGCTGTCTTTAATAGATGCTTTACTTGTGTCAATCAGGGCCTCGGATCTGGTCCTACGATTCAGAGTTGAACTTTTTCTTGAAGTTCTTTTAACCTGATCATACTCAGAGGTCTGTGGGCTCATGGTTGCTTCCTCTTGAATTGTTCTGCTTGTGCTGATTGCCGAAGATGGGAGCGAGTCCTGATGATGTGCTTGCATGTCAGCCTGTGCAGCTGAAACAAAAGACATCTCTATGACAGAGCATTGGTCTTCTTCATCTTCATCTTCATCCTCATCAGGGGATGAGTCTGAAGAATCATGGCTGGGTTCTAAATTCTCAGAATGGCTGACTGTGGATGTGTCGGATTGGAGGTCAGCTATAGTAGAGTCTAAATAGTCTAAACCAAGGCTTTCAAGGCATCCAGCCTCACTTTGAACAGTGATTAGTCTCTCAAAAGCACTTGGGGAACCGAGCTGAACCTCTATGGAGCTTCCAAGATCAGCTTTTGAAAGTGGCTTTTCACTAGCTGAGTTTTCACTTGAGGGTTTGATAAACGTTCTGGGCATAGGAGTAGGGATTTTGTTGTCACAACTCTGAGTTTGAGATGATTGTGGGATCTCTCTAAGGTTTATATCTGTCATAGGAGTATCATTCTCAAAAGTTGAAGACCTTGTATCTTCTTTCACAAACTCATCTGGTACAACCTCATCAACCGGGTGTTCCCCTATGTGAAAAAATGCATATCCTTCTCCTTCATCAAAGCTTCTTCTTGTCATATCAATAGCCCCCCCTCTGGTCATTTCAAACAGTTTCCCCTCCTGGAACTGAAATGGATCAGAGGTTCTCTCATAACCTGGTGTTCCATTCTGGGTTTTCACAGGATTAACTCTGTCCTCTGCAGGAAAAATATTCACCTGTTGCTCATCCTCAACCTGTGCACTGAAGCCAAAATCCTTCTCAGCCTCATATCCTGTAACTACATATTCTGTTCTTTCAGGACCATCTTCCACAAGTGACTCAACTTTTGTGCCATCAATGGGATTGTGCTCAGTAACACAGCTGGAAAAATGTGCGACTGAGGAACTGTCATCTTCTACCGCATCTCTATCTTTGCTAATTTCACCTTCACTTTCTGCTAAAGATGTAAAATAGTCATTACTCTCTGTACAAGGTTCCTGTCCCTGAGTTTTGATTTGACAGAATGAATAGTCGGCTGATTGAAAAGTTTTCATTTCTGCCTGAAAGTCTGCTTTTTCCTCAATGCTCGAAGCAACATTGGATGTATCTTTTGACAAAGTCTCTGGGTCAAATTTTAAATCTAGCTCAGCATCTTTGTCATCATCCACCTCTGATTGCACTGTGGTATCTGAAAATGTGTCTCTTTTCGATCTAGTCTCCTGTTCCATCTCCTCGAATGTTTTGATCTTTGCAGCCATTTTAAACATCTCCTCTTCTGGGGTGATTTGTTTATTGTTGGAATCAACCTCACTATCATTTGCGTCAAGAGAGTCTTGTCTAAAACACATTTGTAGGTTCTCACTGTCACATATTTTAGAGTCGTTCTTTGCTGAATCTGAGTCTTTGTCCCCAGTTGCACCTTCCATATAGATAATCTCAAAGTTGTTTTCTTGCAAATCTTCCTCACTGTCATCCTTGTATATGCTTGTGTCATATGCAAAACAAGCCTTCAGCTGGGACGCATAATCCTCATACACAGCTGTCTTGGCTGGCATCTTGAGTTTTAATTCCTTTGTTTGAGTGGGACTCCCCTCAAGAGAGTCTGGACAAGGGGATTCCCTGGTAGGGCTTGGCTCAATTGAATCAGGGGATGTCCTAGAAGATTTGTCTTCCATGATAGGACTATTCTCTAGGGAGTCCTGCTGACATTGCTCTTTGGCTGAGTCAGCAAAATACAGATTCTTCAAATCAACCGGTCTCTGTAGTACATCAGAACTACTTGGTAGTTGCATACATTCATCCAATGGCTCATATGACTTTGTGATGTGTGCTGTCCCTTCAATTGAGTCGTAAAATAGTGTTCCTCCACTTGGTGAGGTTTGATGCTTGCTCCTTTCAGTTGAGAAACTTTCTTGACTGTCATCTTCAGGGGAACATGTCTGCCATCCACTCTGTAAATCTGTCCTCCTTGCTTTGCTCTCCATTTCTGGATGTGTTTCCTGTGGTGAACACACTTCCTGCTCAGAGGAGAATGTGACCGTTTCTCTTTTGGTGTCTCTTGACAGATTAGTTTCTTTGTAGCTCTCATGGACTACCCCATCTCCTGGGTGATCTGGTAACACCACAGGCTGTACTTTTAAGTATTGATCTAAGTCATTACTCAGCAGTGTCAACATACCTGTGATATTCTTCTCAGGTGTAGACTGTTGTTGCAGAGTATTTCTCTCAATGCAAACTTCTTGGAAGGGTGTCTCTATTTCAGAACTTATAGAAGATTCTGTGACTCCATCTATGTCTGTCTGCACGTGTTTCTTTGCTTCTAAATCTATCTCATCCTTTTCCTCGAGATACTGATCTAAGTCACAACTGAGGAGTGACAACATGCCTGACATATTCTTCTCAGTAGCAGACTGGGGGAATTGTGTCTTCCTCTTGATGGTAACTTCTTTGAATGGTATTTCCACTACAGAACTTGCTGTGATTTCATTGAGTTTGCCCTCATCAAGCAGTTTATATGTCTCCTCTTCCACGTCAGCTTTAGCTTCTTTTTGTGTTGTTTCCCATTGAGTAATCATTTGCTCCTCACTGGAGGGTTCTCTGATTTTGGTGATAGTAACTTTTTCAAATTTCTCCTGGATAACATCCTCTTCTGGAGGCCTGCTTTTCACTGGCCTGTCCTTTAGGTACTCATCCAAGTCACTGTTAAGCAGTGAGAGCATGCCCGACATGTCCTTTAGTTTTGTAGACGACTGATGAGAAGCCTTTTTCTCTACTCTCTTTTCCTCCATTGGGGGTTCTTTGGTCAGGATTGTTTCAGTTTCTTTTATGCCGCTCTTTCCATCAAATTCACTCTCTGTCCCTTCACTTTCCAATGTGCTTGAATGTGCTTCCACTGGTTCAGTTTCTTGTGTTGTACCAGTCACTTGTACTTCTTCACTTTTATCAGTGACAAATTTGCAAACATCTTTATCTTGCTCCATTGTTATGATAATTTCTTCAAATTTCTCCTCAACCATAGCCTTTTCTGTTGTCGGACTTGTCAAAGGCCTAGCTTGTAGATAGTCATCCAAGTCCTCGTTTAATAAGGACAACATACCTGACATATCTTTAACATTGGATGGCTGGCTAGATGTTTTCCTCTCAATGTAAACTTCTTGGAATTGTGGTTCCTTGACTCGGCCATCTGATACTGCACTGGAAGTTTCTGTAAGGAGCTGTTTGCTTCTTTGATCAAAATTTGTGTATTCTTTACTTGCTTTATGCAATTTCTCCTTCTGTGATGGTTTCATGTCATTTTCTTCACTTTCAGCAGAGACGGTTGGCATTTCATTGGTCATTTGATGAGTCATTGCTAGTCCTTCATAGTACTCGATCTCCCCCGAGCTAGAACGATTGGTCCTACTGTCAACGGTTGTGTTTGATGATTCAGCCAAACCTTCATGCTTGGGACTTTCAGGACTTAGATCGTCATAATTTGTTTGCTTCTTAAAACGAGAAACATCTTCTCCTGAATAACTTTTCATAAGGAGACTATGGATGGACACTGGATTTGAATCAGAATCAGCCATGGCCTCCTCCTCAGAGCCCTCTCGCTTATAGCTAAAACTTGCTGATGTCTGCTTGAAAAGCTGATACTCAGGACTTTCTTCCAGCTCAGCCTTGATGTCAGCACTGAAATCCTCAGAAGGTCTGCGGTCAGGGCTGATCTGCATGTCTTCCAATAAACTCTTACCAGTGCTTATGATTGGTTCTTTTAATTGCATCCTTCCGATGCT